TATATATATATATATATATATATATATATATATATATATATATATACACACACACAAACACACAGACATATATGAGATATATATATATCAGGAAGTATATTGTAAGTAATGAAAAAGGTCTTAAATAAAAATCTTAGTTTGTCTCTATTACAATTTAAATATTTCAAATGACATTTATTTTTATTGTATGTGTATGTTTTGCTGTAAGTTTGTCTGTGAACTGCTTATACATAATGCTAATGAAAACCAGAAGAAAAGCTTGGATCCCCTGGAACTGGGGTTAGAGGTGACAATGAACCCCCTGTGTCTGCAGGCATCAAACCCCTGAAGGCCTGCAAGAGCAGCGAGTGTGCATAGTCACTAAGCCGTCTTCTCAGGCCCATTATTAATCTTTAATCCCTTTATTCACTGAAGGGGGCCCTGGGAGGTGGCTTAGTGGCTAAGAGCACCTGTCTTTGCAGAAGACACAGTTTTAATTCCCAGCACCCACAACAACAACAAAACTCCAAGTCCAGGGAATCCAATACCATCTTCTAATCTCTGAAGGCACCAAGCATGCACATGGTATGCAGACAAACAAGCAAGCAAAACACTCACGCCTATAGAATAAAACAATGAATTTTTAAAAAGAAATTGTAAAGTTAAAAAAAAAAGATTAAACTTGGGGAGAAGTTGCTCGCATTACCTAAAATCCACACAACTAAGAACAAGGCCTCTCTCCCTATGTCTGCAAAGAAACGCATACGCATATAAATGGACAACCAACATTCTCAGGGAGGAAGAATTAAAAACAAGGCAAGGTGGTGTCACTGGTAACTGTTCAACACAACAAAGCAAATCAGTCCAGAGAGGGGAAGGTGACCTGGACACACAGGCTTTCTCGCACATTACTGGTGAGAAAATGATTAGCGAAAGCCACTTTGAAAATCGATTTATCCTCATTTTAAATATTTAGCGTTTGCATACTCCCGCAGCACCGCATCCTCCACCTGGCATGTCTACACTCAGGATTCCTCCACATGCCATCGGAGATAACTATAGGTATACTTGGAATGACCATTCCAAGTTCATCTGTCAGTTTTGAACGAACATAAACGTATACTCACAGAAGACTAAATAGAAAACTACAGACTACCCTAAACTGTATTTTATATAGAATTAAAATTAATAAGACATAGAAACAGAGAAATATGAACCTATCTTAGCAACATAGTATTAAGTTAGCAACCTGAAATGATTATTTAAAGGAAATTTTTTTTTTTTTTTCAAAATCTGAAGCCAGCTAACATGATCACCAGGAAAGACAGGGGCTATAAAATAGTTAAACTTGAAGAAAATCCTGAGTTTTCAGGATAATATAGGTTAGGGAATTTATGAGGAAGGAATCAGGACATGTTTTCACCAAAAGTCTGTCATTGTTTTCACATAAAATTAATACATCATTTAAAATATCTAAACA